AGAAAGCCCATGAAAAAGAAAATCCCAAAAAGCGCCCACTAAAAAAAAAAAACAAAAACACTAAATCTAACCTGTGGGGAGGGGAAGATGGCATCTGCAAGCACAAATGTAATGAAAGAGGTAAATGCCAGGATGGGAGCACTTTCAAATGTAATGAAAGAGGTAAATGCCAGGATGGGAGCACTTTCAAATGTAATGAAAGAGGTAAATGCCAGGATGGGAGCACTTTCAATATTCGGTTGCCTAATGCTGCTGTACCTCCTAAACTCAAAATGCCAATTCTTGAAACAACTCAAAACAAAACCTGTCACTCAAATAAAAAGGTGTGAGCAGATTCAACAGTATATATATATTCAGACATTTCTTTTCTAAAAGTTTACGGTACTCAATCCGGCAAATTACCGGGGTACATGTACCCGTTGGTTTTCAGGAATATAGCAACCAGAAAGTACATTTACATGTACATGTGTATAACAGCATGTATACTGACTTGTTTGAAACACTTCATGTACATGTGTATAATGTCATATGTACAAGGTACTCACTTCTTGAATTTTTTGGCATATCCACACTAACAAAACTGTCATACCAGCCTGTTGGCAGCCTCCAACAGGCAACATAAGACCTAAGCAACATTAACCTAAGTGGCTGGTGAGGTGACTATATTGTTCCATATCAGACTGAGGGTAGCATGACTATTAATTATTTGGGGAGTGTGACAGTCAAACTATGGCTACACATATTTTATTGCTTTTGCTCTTTCATTGCTTTATGTTGTATATGAACAAGGAGTTAGATGTACCTAGCATCTTATCATAACGGTGCAACATTTAAGTGATGGAATTAATAAATGACTACACGGTAGGCAGGACCATGGGTTCTAGTTGAAAAGAGAGGGCATGTACGGTATGAGGGTATCGCTACTTGGATCAGTCAGGCTGTAGTGGGAATGGTCTAGCTACTACGATGATGGGATGATTGACTGGACGGGGCCAGCGGCGTGTACCAAGTATGTAACATTACTGTTCAAAGTAAAATGTGGTGTTGACTGGGTTAAGGTACTACATCACTGGCTCAACATACAAGTAGATGGGAAGGACCGGGGCTAGCCAGCAGAACTAGTGCACCGCACAACATGGGTGTGTCCGTCTTGGTTGTGTCCGTCATGGGCAATGGTTAGGTTGTAGGGATGCTACAGGTACAAGTAATAGAGAACCCTGGGATAGTTTAGACTACACTAGATTCAAGCTAAACGGAAGTTAGCTGGACATTCATATAGTTAACCATGCACTTCACCATGAGAACGGTATCAAGATACACAACAATTGGTCCACCACACTATGCTTGGTTTAATTTGCAAAGCACAAGGAAATTTTGGTCTGCTGCAATTGGCCATCGATCTAAGGACATACATGTAATGAGCACGGCTGAAGGACTCAACTAACTCCCTAATTCAATCTTCCATCTCAAAAAATCACATGAATTCCTACTTGGGTCATGTGTAAGAATCTAAGGTTTCTGTGTAAAAAGGTGAAACACAGCGCATGTACCACATGTACAAAATAACAAGTTACATGTATACGTACCAGAGTGCAGCGTGTATAAAAGTGGTAACACAATCATTTTGAAGAATGAATGACAGTTACATGTACACATTCAACCTAGCCAAACAGGCATGTGGAGGCTACGTGCAGATTTCCACCATTCCAAATTAACCGCTTGACACCAGACAATGTAAACACACAATTTTCCTTATTCCACGGATGACACGCACACTTGTCTAAGAATTCTTTTCATTTCCGCAGCTGACGTATTAACAATTTTCCTTATTTGTTCCACGGATGACAGGCACACTCGTTTGAAAATTCTCTTTTCATTTCTGCAGTTGACGTAATCACGCATTGTGCTTGGTCGGATCACGGACCATTTACACCCTGGGTGGATCAAAGTGCAGCAGACGACCCTACACGTGAACACTGCTACTAACTTACACACCACACCATACACAACAAAAGAACTAATTAATGACCTGATTTGTTATAAACTCATTTGCTAGGGAGAAAAACCACTCTTACAAAAGAGTCAAGGTTACAAAATTCCAACTAGCAACCCCTTTGTATTGCAATTACTGAAAAAAACCACACATGGCTAAGGGTGACACATATATGCTATCGACTTTTTATATGTGAACCAGTCGATGTCTGGACATGCGGCACAGCTTTTACCAGGGCAGTTGAAAAACGGTTGAATACAAGAACTCGGGGGGGGTGGGAATGAAAATACTCATGCCTAAATTCAAAAGTTGTGCCTCCCTACATATTTTATGGACGCCAGAAATATTTTTCTGCAGCAGCTTTTTCTGGAAAGAAAACCTGACATCAACAGGTTAAGCACATTAGTCACAAAGACGATGAAGCAAGGGAGCATGCCGTCATGCCAGAAAGCAGCATTAAAAAAATACTAGGACACTGGTGTCTCAGCTAGGCTACTGCATATGCGTAATTTAGCAAGTGGTCTGTTAAAAGATCCCCAAAACAGTATACTGTACATGTACATGTAATTACATGTGTGGTAATTGACTACAGTATAAATAGGACTTTTTCTTAGGTTTTTTTTTGTAACAATTGCTGGTGCTCCTTGTAACAATGAGAATCTACAAATTGAGCGTCAAATATTTTGTCTCTTAACAGACCTAATCATTCAATCTGGACCTTTGCTGTTAAATCAAATAAACTAAGACCTTCCACAAAAGGACTACCTCCCTTTAGCTGCCAGTCTGCAGATTACATTGATACTGGGGAACCTTGCACAATGGGATAAGGTTTATGTATGATTGGAGAATGCAAACCCAAGAACAAAACCTCATTAACATGTTTACAGAAGAAAAATTATTCAAGTGTCAACAGTTTTTGACCTTGATTCCAACGTTACACAATCATTTAAAGGTGCAGTTAGACCCACTTGAAAGTTACAGGGCAACTGCACAAGCAAAATCTGAGGTACCTAAACTCCCATTTAATTTCATTTATCAATTTTTGCAGATAAAAGAAGTTACAATCAAACCAAACAAAAACACAAAAGTTGACAAGAAAGAGAGTTTAGCAGCCCCCCCCCCGGATTGTGAAAAAGCAAACTCAAATGACTGTCACACTGCACTCCTTGGTGCCATTTAAACCATACAAAGAAACAAATACTTGTACATTGCACATGATAAACAGGAATGGAACAATATAAGACCCATTACAAGGAATGGTAGGCAATGAAATGACCGTTGTGTTTTTGAGGATAAACACTGAGCTGTTGAAGTTGGAGAAAAAAACGAGGCTGTAATCGGCAGGAACACTGCTTTATAAGCCACAATCCTATGAGTAGTAAAGAAGATACATATACATTGATATAAAAGGCGCACATTTAATGTCACTTGATTTCTGACCCTGATGACGTCATGATCACATCAGGTCAATTTTCGTCTATAACACTCCCATTACTAGCTCCATGTACATGTATCTGTAAAGTTTCAATCCAATGGGAAACATGCTTTGGGAGATATGAGGCTGAGAATGCATCTTTAATGTCACGTTACTTGTCACATTAACTCATCATAATCAAATCAGGTCAATTTTCGTCTTTAACACTTCCCTGTCTAGCTATCCGTGAAGTTTCAACCCAATGGGACAAGGATTTAAAGGATACACCTTTAATGTCACAGGACTTGTCAAATGATGAGGTCATCATCACATGATGTCAACTTTTTATGGCCATCTGCAAAGTTTCAATCCAATGGGACATACACTTGAGGAGATTGGTGGTTTTAAAATTTGTACCTTTAATGCCATCTCATGTGACACCCGATGACGTCATTATGACAAGTTTCATTTAGGACCATCTGTAGCTGGTGGGCTAAGAGTGTGAACTTAATATATAGTCAATCAGATCGATAGAAGTGCCAAAGTCTGCTTGGTGAAAAATGTGTACAAAACATATGGGGGAAAATAAAATACATGTATTCAAAATTCTATAATAAATCATGTGATGATGTCACAATGACATTATACTTATATGCTTCTAGGTTTGAAGGGGATCGGCCTTAAGGAAAGGGCAAAAGCTGTGTGTAGAATGATCCCGTGTTATGTCTATGAGGGAAAAGTGAAAAAAGAGGAATAAAAAAAAAAGCTTCAGAAAAACAAAAGCTGTTTTGGCCAGTGTCCGAAACAGCTAATAAAGTGTATAATTCCATCAGTTGGTGATAAATCAAAAGAAAATTATCTCTGATTAATTTACCGAGTCACAAACAAAACACAAATGATATCAATAATACTTAACTTTAACACAGACAAAACATGAATAATATACGAACACACAAAAAAGAAAGATCACAGAGAAAGAGAATACCTGCATTAAAAATTATTTAATTATTTAATTTAAAAAAATGCTTAACACTGTACAATAAAACATTTACTGTGTAATGCTAAAATGTGTGCATGTGTATTGCACGTACAGTAGGAATAGGTATAAAACTTGGAGAATTTGTATCAAATTAAAACCACAAAATCCATATTGACAAAATAGCATAAAAACCCACACAATGGGCAAAAATGTATAAAAACTGGAATAAAAAAATAATCAAACCCACACAATCCCCAATAAAAAATGTAATAGAAGAATATTAAAAGAATTAGTATTGGTACCCCAAACCTCGAAGTCAAATATCCTAAACCAAAGGCCAAAAAACCCAACACAAAACAAAACTTAGAAACATAAAACTAAACTCAAATTCCAAAAAAATAAGGCAAATTCCTAAAAACCAAGCAGCAAAAACGTAACATCACAATAAGCCAAACTCCACCCAATCAAACCCAACTAAACCAACAAAACAAAACAAAAATCATTCCCAATTATTACTCATTCCCAATTATTACTCATTCCCAATTGTTTGATGTTGCAAACCTCTTTTCAGGTTTAGTGCTGAGAGAAGCTATCCCTTTCCCTTAAAAACTTACCCAAAATGGCATGTTGGCTGTTGTGAAAGTGTCATTTTCATCACCCACTGACTGAGATCTGTCAAAGACGTATGAGTAGGGCTGAGTGCTTGTCACTGTGCCATTGTCATTGAAAGTGACATTTTCTCTTGGTAGTGACATTCTGCATTGACAGAGCCAGAAAAAAGAAAGAAAAAGGTTCTAAAATGCAGGGAAAACATCAGGATTACTTCAAACAAATTTGATAACTCTGCTTATAACAGGTTAATGTATGGATGTTCATATTCTGTCCATGTGCACATACATGTACATTTACACAAAGAAAAGCATAGTGAATTTAATGTAATAAATGCACTGCCATAACAGCACATTCAGATAAAAATGGGTCAATTCAGCATTTTCATATATATGTACATGTACTGTACCTTACTCAGATTGGAATGACATTTATGGATATCATTGGCCTGGCCTTTATGAGAAAATTCCTGAAACTACGGTGTACAATGTAAGTTTAAATTTCAATAATTGTAAACTTAGCCAACTTAAAGTAATATTTTGATAGATTCTGAAAATCTGGGTGAAGAATGACAGCTTTTCCTTGATGGGTATCCTGTACAATGGATGATTTCAATGCCAAGCACAGTTCAATGTACTGATTACTGTAGAAGCTGCGCTCAACAGCCACAAATGCTCAGTCAACGCTATGCTGTGGTGCTGCTACTCTGAAATATTTGGATGCCACAAGTGATATAATCTTTAGTTCAAGCATTAGTACTACCATTATGTTGACAAAGTGCATTAGAGAAAAAAGCAAATGAAAAATCTTACTCAGAATGGCTAATGCCTGAAGATTTGAATGTAAGTAGTGGTACTACTAATTGATAAAACCATAGAACAAGGAACAGACTGATCACTTACATAAATGCAACGTACTTTTTAAAACCAGTTCTTGTTAACTGTTCCTCTGTTTCTCATTTAACTTAAGAATTTAAAAAGTTTAAAACAGTGCACTTTTCAAAGAGCGTAGTTTACACTAATAGTTTTATAGTATAGTTTCTTACAGTCAAGATAAGAAAGAAATTGAGTAAAACATCATTTTTCCAACGTAAAAGTAATGTCATTGACTCAATTTCAAGCATAAATGGCAACCCATTTTCCTCAGAACATGTTGTGTACACAAACCCGTGGCACTCACTTGTAGGAATAAGGTCCTATTTCGACAACACTTGGTCGACCTCCTTCCAGCACCTCCTGTGGATTCTGAAGATCCAAGAAGTAAAATTTGGTGTAAATAGGCAGTGTGGGATCTTTCCACTCAGGGTAGATGGGTGACTTTGGACTGATGACCATCATCTGAAGAATGAAAGAAAGAGAGCACACATCAGGGGATAAGCTATGTGTTAATGTAGAAGGATCAGTGAGACTGATGCCGCACACTTAGAATGGGTCCCTTTCAGGTATGATAGTTGATTGTACAAAAAAAAAAAAAAAGGGAAAAAATTCCCAGCAGACCAACTAAACTACATTGTACAATGACTACTAACAGAGAACTGAAAATGGAAAAGAAAGGTGAACAAAATCTAAAAACCCCATTACATGTACCGGTACATGCAACAAGCAAAATATAATGACTGTGCTACATTGTAAATGTACAGGTACATGTACATGTACAATGACAAAAATGTTGGTTACAAGCAAATTTATGCACACATGTACATGTCCATGTGTACACTATACATACATGTACATACAATGTACAGTACCCAGTATATGTTGAAGAAATATCAGCACCATACGGTATTTGTCACAAGCAATGTCCACTGATCCCCTGGCATTTTGATTGGTAGATGCATGTACCAGTAGCTATTTTGTCATGTTTGTGGTGCTTAGCCAATTTTTTAGGCCATAATATTTATTTTCAGGAGAAATGGTCCTAACCATATTCTTCACAGTGAATGGACAAAGTTGTGTACGCTTTTGGGCAGATTGTAAATTTAAAGGTACCAGTACCTAAGAGTATTTGGTACATATTCACAACGTCTGCAATTTTCAGGCAAATGAAATTCCCTAGGGTAACAAAGTGAACAAAACCCACTTGTTTAGAAAAGAACTGCACTGTACATTTACCAGTACATGTACATGTATCTCAAGTGAAAATGACCATTTTTCAAGATCTGTAATTTTGGACAGTTTTTGCTTGAATTTTATCAGGAAAAAATGTTTTTCTTAAAACTGGTCAGGCCTTAAATTCCCCAAATGTGTTCACAAAAACGAAAATATAGTCCTACACACAATCCATATGGCTACATTTTTAGTCATGGTGAAATCTTAATTTAGCACTGAAATTACATGTACTTCAGAAAGCTTCCAGCTTTTCAACAGATATTGATGGGGATACAGATGCACTCTTTAAGACTAATGTGGAACAAAATGAATTTTAAGTACAATAAGTGCTTGTACATGTACATGTACTTGTGACTGAAGATAGGTGTCGGCCAACTGCCTCAGGGATAACTGCTGGTACTGTACTAGTAAGTTCCATGCATTATTCAAAATTACATACTGTGGCTTCATGTGGTTTTAGCCGGGGAGAAATGGGATTTGTAGGAAGGGGGTGATCTACATTGTACATTTGACAATTGCATGGTGAACTCAATCTTTGGAGCTTATGCTTGGCCGACACTGTGAGTCTAACTCCCAGACACCCAATGAACTTTTGTGGACCCTACATGTACAATAATGACTGATTGCAGGCTTCCTGTGATATATTCCTTACAGACATGTATCCACGATGTGCACTGTATGCCACTTTTACACTGCAGGTCAAATAGCAAAACAAATTTTAACAAATACATGTCTGCAAGCTCGATTAAAGTGAGCAGGTTACGGGGTACATGCAAACCTGTTTACCATTCAATCTTGCTTCATATACAGTACATGTAGGTTTGTCTGGAAAATGAAAATTATGAACCAAACGCAAGCTTTACAGAATTGCATTACATGTACATGTATGTACCCTGTACATGGACCGGTACCACTGAGTACTGTTTTCCTCTCCACAAAATATTTCCTGAGACATTTTGCTTCCCTGTAATTACTGCTCCCATTTTTGAAGGGTGGAGGATATGAGTGAGTTTTTCAACCATACACTCATCGCAGCCTGGCTCACTGTGTTTCTTATCTGTGTAATGTTGGTGTGAAACATTATTATTTTCACTATCAACATTCTGAAGCCAGGTTAACGTGAACGAGGGAATTGACTCTACATTACGGTTATGTTGGTCAATGTTTCTTTGTGTTAATAGCTTAATGTAACTACTCTTCCAGCTAAGGTTCAAACTTGTCGATTGTCTTAAGAGTCTTGTTTAATGCTTCTTAAGTGCTTAATGCAACTATTTTTATCAGTTAAGGTTCAAAGTTAATTTTAGTTTACAATAGGGGGATCCCTACTCGACAAGCATTGCTTTTTGGGGATCTCCATCCACATCATTATGATTAACTCCGGAATAAAGTTATACAATGTATGCATGTATTGACAATGTGTCAAGTGATGTAGGAAAAATAATAAAGAATGAATGAATGAAAAAGGATAGCCAACCATATATGTTAGAGAGTTGCAAAAAATTCCACATTTACAGGACAGGTGTGAAAAAAAAAACCACGTAAAATTGATACTTGACAAATGAATCACTTTTTGAAGTATCGGCAGATCTAATGTCTTCTAAACCAGCACAGTTTATTTTTCTCACAAAAACAGGTAAAGAAAAAAGCAATGCACTATATACATTGACTACTTTTAAAGGGTCCTTGCTTTAAGCAATGACAGCCCACACATTCTGCTTTTGTCGGAATGACTTGCGTAATATGTACACATACATGTACATGTACATACATGTACATGTACACTGTACTAGCCCCAGGAATGCATACACATACTGAACACTGTGCACGTACACTCTACATGTACATGTATATGCCAGAAGTTGCTACCAACTTTCAAGATGTTTGGCAGGGGTTATCAGGGGCAGGTATATTTCATGAGGAGAGTTGAAGTCAACGGGCTTGACACTTTGATGGGCCATCCCCAAAAACCATAAAAAAAAATACCCAGTCCTGAAGTATTTCATGTCAATGTATGAACTAACATGCACAGCTAAAAAGTTGACATCAACATGTAAATGCTAACTAGCAGGGCGACTGAGGACGTCTGCAAACTAGTGCAGTGATGGCTATATGTATTCTCCTTTCAACAAATAGCTTAAACGTGAGAGCATTAATCAATTAATAAGCCATGTTGAATTGTTTTTCCTGAAAGACCAGCAGAAATCAGCAGAAAGTTAATTTTATGTAAAACCAGACAGTCGATGCATACATGTATGGCTACCTGCAGTGTTAAATACATGTAAGTAGTAACCTTTAAAATAAGTTTTTAACTTGTTTAGCTTATCCATCGGCAATTTAAACTGAAACGCACAAGTACCGGTATATTTTTTGCTTTACAAGACACAAAAATACATGCAGTCCTACCAGCAAATAACAAACAGGAAATGTGTCAGGTTAGTATTAAGAACATAATTTTAAAAAAAGGTACATGGAACTTTTTTATTGGGGGAGGGCCACTTTTTAATTCCCCCTTTTGGGCCCCTTTTTTTTCCCTATTAGAAAAACAAACATACCTGATCTAAAATTGTATCCATCAGAGCATTGAATCCAAGAGGGATGGCCACTGCCCCAATGATGACCATCAAAACACCAATTGTCAGGACAATGACAAATGTCCGAGTTCTGAGCCTGCGAGCAAAGCTTGTGACGGTCATGATGTCTGTGAATCGTGGCTGGACCTCAAGAGAACTACCCTTGACCAACTTTTTGATGAAGATGATGAAAGTACTGTGCAAAGTGCAGCTATAAATATAATGACGGGGAACAGTACAGCGCAATCAGACCACACTGCAGTGCAGATCATCCAGGCAGGTCATCCACAAGCAGACAATCCCAACTGAAGTCAGGTTAGTTGCACAACGCGGGATCGGTGACATCAAGGTGCCTGGACACATCCTTTTGCTCCAAATGTCAAAGAGGACACCAATCTGTAAATACAGTGATAGATTACTCAACCAATAAGGTGCTGCCATGTACGCATGTACTGAACTCCAACATGCAAATGTGGTATCTACTGTGTAGTTTAGTGGACCCTAGACACTGGTACGCAAGTACATGTACCTGAATGTACACAAAGCCCAGCTGCATCTCACTGTCAGTGTATGGATTCAATTACACAGGTAGAGTATCTTTGTGTACAAGTTACAAGTACATGTAGTTGGTAAGGTCAACGCAAACGATAAATAAAAGTACAACAACTGTGGATAAACTTAAATTTGGCCAATCCATAATTTCCATTACATCTGCAAGTGTTTAAAAGACTACTTGAATCATGAATACTTTCCAAACTCTACTGGTACAAACTAATTAACATGTTGACTGCCTCGCATGATTTCAAAGGGGCATTCCCATTTGGCAAACGTTGTATGCATGCGCGCATATTTAATAGATCTATACATTTCACATGTCTACTTGACAATGTGCATTTTACAAATGAACCGGTAGGTCCGGATCCTCCACACTGCCAGCAGCGTAGTTGTTGTGTTCTAGTATTGCAAGTGTATCCAATTTACATTACAATACCAATATCCTATGAATATACTCGTAGTAGCTGGTACACCCGTGACTACTAGTTTACTCGTAGTTGGCAGGCAATACGTTGATCTCTCTGTGCCATTTGGGAGATCAACTTTGTGCCACCTCAAAAGGTCCGACTGCAAACTTTAAACCATATTTCTATTCAACGTTTTCCAACAAAAAAATCACATGATTTTAAAGGAAAAAATGCCCCACTGAACAGGTGTACCAACTGGCTTATGAAACCTAAACGTAAGACACGTACTTGTTTCCCATTACATATACGGTAGTAGAGTCTGGTTAATAGGCTTTGATGTAAGGTTCGTTCATGTACAGTGCATAAATGTACAAATATCTTTGGCAGCATGGTTAACATCCACGTAAACCTTAACTACTATTCCTGTACACGTACATGTACCATAAGCTTATACTTCATGTACGTGCGCTATTGATGGCACTTCCTTCTCTAAAAAGCCACTTTCCAAAAAGATAACAAATCATTCTTGAATGTTATAAATATTCTCATTTTGCATTATTATTTTGGTCAGCTTCCTTCATCCATTACACTTGCCTCAATTTGGAAATGTTAGCACAAGAGGCATTTAAAATAAACTCATGACTGAGATCCATTTCAAGTTAAAAAGTCAAGTAAAAAAATGGTCCCAGAAACTCACAGCTGCTATTTTCAGTTTGAAGGTCACCAGTATTTCAACTTGAATACGCCCACCAAGAATTGTGCATTTTGGGCATTTTCTGTGAAGTTTCCACTATGTTGTCAGCATTTAGCATACCAAAGAAAATACGTATACTTTGTAGTTTGCACTCAATACCAAGTAGTCCTAAATTGATCTGTGAAATTTTTTATCATCGGAAAAGAAATATGACAGGTTGGTTTTCATGAATGTCTATGAAACTATTGATTAAAAAAATTAGTTATTGATTGATCATATTGACAAGAAGATTCATATACATAGTGACTGCACAGATGTTTAGAGATAATATTGCAACTACCAGTAATTAGCCGATCTAGATCTACAAAAAAAGATCAATAAAGCAAAATGAAACCTCAATAATGTGGCAGAAAAATATCCTGCATATAGACCCCTTTCCCATGATATCATGTACAGTAACTACTGTGTTCTGGTGCTGTCTGCCATTTGGGGAGTCAAATTATACAGTGACACATACACAGAGACACAGACTAATTAGACGGTCTGGTAGCTCAGGTCGTGGCGGTACATGCAGCTCTACTAGTCAACAAACGTGACACAACCTTGGTGTTTTAGGAAGTTTCATCAGCAAGTGGTCCACACTTGCATTGTTGAAGGCTGCAAAAACCAAAAAAGGGGTCGTCAATTTCGTTTCACCCTTTCTCTGCCGGATGTAGGGCACAGCGATGGGAAAAATGGATCCAGGCCATTAGATGTAGCGTTAAGTGTGAACCAACTTGGGTACCAAACTACGGGAGTCGGCTCTGCAGTGCCATTGTATTTCTGGGAAGCTTGTCTTGTTGAATAAGTATAGTTTGAGAAGGCTATATTTTGCCATTTGTAAATCAACATGGCTTTGCAGGAACTCTTTTGTACTGTTGCAGCTAGGTTATAGTCATCCTGCTTTTGGATTTGAGAAAGTTTTTGTTACTTGCTTCAGCATACAATCACCACTGGATCTTTTCGCTGGCTTCATCCACTCCCATGGTTTGGATGTGCAACTACAAGTAGATTTTTTTCATTTCCACACCTTTTGACACAGCAAACAAAGTTGCTACCCCATGTACCGTACATGAGAGCATACCTCAGTAACTCCTGCCATTTCAACAATGGTATACAACTCGCCGGCCAACGTAAGTTTGACAACCTTTTCTGACAAATGAAGACCAGAACTGTTAGTTGGTACACTTCTGCCATGCTGAACAGATTGACTGACAATTACCTGTTTTGATACAGACCCTTCCACTACACTACAGACGTTACAAATAATATTTTGAGTGAAACCATTTTCATGTACATGTACATGCATACGGTACACTACATGCAGCACAGTGCAGACAAACCTGTTGACTTTTTGATTGCCAAAATGACGCCACCCAGAATTTTGGTAGAATTATGGCATCATTAGCATTGAGGCTACAGTATACAGTTGCCATTTATGAGTCAGGGCAGTCTCTTTCTTAAAATCAGCCAGTATAATCTTCAAATGAAATGTTTGCATTTCTGACAAGTGCCTGGCTATTTATACTTTATCAAATAATTATTCAACAACCCCCATTGTCAAAATTAATGACATTGCCCTTTTGCAAAAGAAACAAGTTTTTTTAATCAAACATAAAATACCAGAAGCAACTTGAATTCTGTCATGTCTGTGTAGAGTTTGTCAGCTTCCAATACAGAAGGTACTACCAGCTTTGGTCAACATGGTCAATAGTCTGTTTGACCAAAACCTTTGTTCCTGAAGCCAATTTCTACAGAACACCGGTACAGTCTATGTCAAATACCTGAATACTGGTATACGACTCTTAAATGTGTGCTTTTGAGGCAGAACAGTTTTGAATAAATCAAACACATACTGGTACGTGTTTTTCCTTGCATTGTAAACTTTTAGCACCATTCAATCCTTTGCATTAGGCTGTTTTTCCAGCTAATAAAATATGCATTTCACCTGCTACACGTAGAACACACTCTTGAGTGGCAAAACTTTGAAGTACACTGGAATACTCAAGTTTACATGTACATCATGTCAAGTACATTTTTAAATAAAAATCCTTAAGTTTGACTTGAAACTTGTTTAGGAATAGGCATATTTCACTAACGGCTTTTTCTCATTTCAATATACTGGTGCACATGCACTTTTAAGTGGAATCTTTATGCAGTGTTAAGACACATTGTGTGAATCAGCAAAACACCACACTTTAATGTACATGTACATACTTAATATGCTTACCATACAAATGATTGTTGTCTCATGATTAATAAAATATTTGACCAGTGCTCAAATGAAGTGGTGGAGAATATAAAACTGTGCATTGCAAAACCTACATGTATGAAGTCATAGCTTTGATGTTATGTATAATGTAGTCTACAGCCTTACTTTGTGCACTTATGAAAGTGAGGCGCCATAAGCCAGCCTGGTATTTTGTACCCTATCATCCTGGGACAATGACCTCCATACATGCAATGGCAACCCTGGCCGTAGTATGGGGGTGAACAAAACAATGAAACTGATTCGGAGCGGTCTAAGATAAAAAAGACGAACACAGTGTGAACCTACATGTACAGTACATGTAGCTAAAATAGATGTACGTGTACAGTGGTAAACAGATTGATGCAGTATATATACTGTACATGAATGTACATGTACCTGCATGTAACAGGGAAAAATAACACGCTATGGGGGAACCCGCAAAACCATAAAAATCTCTAACTAAACCAAGGATCTGTGGGGGAAAGAATGCAGGAAACTGAATTAATAAGGACTCAGAAACCAATATTTGACTTAAAAAAAAAAGGGACCAAAAGAATTTATTAACACTAACACTCCTCAGTCCTCCAACAGGTGAAGGATTGAGGAGGGTTAGGGTTAATAAAAAAGTACAGAAAAAAAATGCAAAAACCAAAAGGACTACAAGACTGAAAAGACTTAACACCAAAGACTAAGAACTTTAGGAAGACTAAAACCAACACAGTGCATCAAAACAGATCTAGTTAGAAGACTTTGACTTCAATCACTGACTCTTTAGATGCAGACAAAAACCTGAATCAAGAAGAAAAGCCCACTCCAGCAAGGAGGAACAAATACATGAACTGTGATAGTGTCTCTGCTGCAGGGCATGCTCTTGCTCAGAGCATGGGGTCAAGTACTTATATGGGTAGAAGCAAGGGCCAAAAAATGGGGAAACACAGAAAAATATGGGTGAACTCTAAACTAAAACTATGTATTTTATAGGGCAACTTCTCCTATGCAAAGATGTTTAAAAAACTTTCACACATTTCTACCTAATACCTTGTGATCCTGGGTCAGTGACCTTATACCTTGTGATCCTGGGTCAATGACCAACAAAGGACACATACAGTAATGGCTATCCTACTCCATGCCCATATCCACAGTGGATGAATGAACAGAATTAATGAAAATGATTCAAAAGAGTCTGAGATGAACGAGGTGAACACTGTGTACACCCAGCTAAATTCAGATAGACATTTGTACATCATATGCTGCCTGGCAAACATGTGGCAAAAGGGCATTCAGCCCATAGGCCATTTGCATGTACATGTACATGTACATGTAGGCCTAGGCTTGGATGCCTCCCTAGCTTTTCAAAAACGTGCAATTTAAAATCAAAAATTAAGATTATTAAATAAAGTTACCTAATAATGCAGTCTGGAAATGGAAGAATCCTGTTATCAGGTTGGCTGAGATAGCAAGCATGGGGCCAAACTTTGTTTACAATTTTCTTACAGAGTTTCAAGTTTTCACAGCTGGTTACTATCACGACTGGTTCTTACGTTATTGTAAGAAGAATTTTCATAGCCGGAAATTGGAAAAGTTAAGGTGGCTATTAATTAAAATGACAAGAATGTACAGGTTGTATCTTGAAATCTCAGAATCACAGAATTAACAAGGTGAATTAGGGGATACAATATTGCCTTCAAGCAACCTTGAATCGTCAACTGCGATTGGTCGATGGGTGATTGGTAATATTATTAGTTATCACACGAGCGCTCGTGGAACACAGAATAATGTAGTGCGTCTTTGTCCATTATAGCACAAGGACGAATTTACCTTCAAGCAAACTTGACTCGCAGTAAAGCTGTTATAAGGGCTATGTGCGTTAAAGAGCAACCTCAACAGTGGACAAAAATAATAAGTCTTGCCATGCATGTAGTACTGGAATGTTTACTTGGAAGTTGGATCCCATTACATCTATGCCACATAAACCTAGATTCAGCAATATATTTGGTGAAAAAAATGCACTTTTGAGACCAGTTTATGCCAAGTACAATGGCTAGCTTTCGCGAAAGGAGCGTGTCATCATCGCTTCATTTACATGTACCGGTACATCTCATGAATACAGTTTTTCCAGGATTTTGTGGACGTAGTACCAAGCTAACGGTTGGTGCATGTACCGGTACGCACTGAGGCAGCGCAGTCACAACAATGCACATAATTACACATACATGTAGTATAGTAACGTGTGTGTAGTTACAGTTATACACTGTCCCAAGAACAAGGCGCAGAGCCTTACCACTTTGAACCCATCATGCCACCGAAGTGCTGATGGGATCCCGATCGGGCTGAGCGAAGTGGTGAAGGAGACCAAGATTGTTTGATAAATACAGCTTGGTACATGTATTGTACAGTCAGAGTAAAGGACAGATGTTTTCAATGTTTTTATGTTGTTATTTTATTCCAAAAAAAGTGTAAGGCTAGGCCGTGCAGCTCAGGCTTGCAGGCCTTTGTACGAAAAAAAACATATCCACGAAACCAGGTCCTGCAAGGTCATGGGCATGGCTGAAAAAATGCGAAGTCCAAACCAAGTACATTGAACCTGGTAGCCAGCTACGATGTTGTAAGGCAGTCCAACAGCGAGGCAACTCCAATGAATGGAAAAGGCGTGAAAAATTCCAAGTCCGAGCCAAGTACCCCCAGCCGGCTACAATGTTGCCAGTTGTGTATATAATGTGTTTGTAAGGCTTCGAAGATTCAAAATCCAGGTGTAAGTTATGCGTACACCCTGCTACCAGAAGACAATTAATAATCAACAGTATCTCATGAAAATCATTGACAGCCATGTTGTGTATATAATGTGAAGCTTCAAAGTAAGAAAAACAGAGGCTCAAGAGTCTCAAATGAATGTTATCTAGCAACCATTTATATCTTCGTAACTATTGAGCTCGACTGCAAGTTACCGTCAGAACACAAATAATATTAAATACTATCCCTTTGACAGTGACATCCATTTAACGTCCTGGTGTGTACATGTACATGTATTATCAGGCGTATGTGTTTAGTCACTATGTATACATGTAGAGGACAACATCAGGTAATTTTTCAATGATTTCAAATATTAAAATTGGCCAGTGTGTGCATGAACAACATTCTCCTGAGCAACAAATACAAGGAGCAAGTATGACGGGCGAACTTAACTTCCCTTATCAAGCGCGACATCGTAGCCAGCTACAAAGTAGAAGAGGTGGGTGGCGGGGTATTCTGCAATTGCCCCAACTAGTCCAAGGTATTTTTATGAATGTACATGTATGATACGACATGTACATGTATGAAGATGCTCTGAATAAAGAATGACATATCGAATCAAACATGGCGAACAGTAATATATTACTATTATTAGTTTTTCAGAGTAAGTCTGCATAATACTTAGTTATCTGGAAACAGGAAAGGGTACCAGCTCTTCTAATTTAGCCTAACTATGGAGGAATAAAACACATCCCTCCATGGCCTAACCCTAATCAATTTGTCATGTTTGGTTGCCATACCGATCGTCACAGGCCCTAACTAGAGGAAGTCCTTATTCGTTGTTACATTCATTCATGATTCATGGAAGTGTACTGCAGGACTCACTTGCCTACCGGTAGCTAGACATTTCAAATTTAAATTCGTTATCAACCCATGGAGGAAGGAAGCATAATAGCAAACCCTGCATCGACAAAAAGTTTCACGATACGTTACATATGCTTTGTAAAGTGCAATTACTACTAATTTATTGCTACTGTACGTAGGCCTAGATTACTACTTTTTTACCTGGCCTAGTACTACAATCAGTACAGTAGGCCTACGGGCCCTTGAGAAAGTCGAAGCACTGTTCCTTGCTCTACATGGCTCTACATGTATGTTTGAACTCAGTACCAAAGATTTCGTATAGCTACGCAGCGCTATACGGTCTTTGCTCAGTACAGTGTTTACCCTTACACACATCCCAGGACAGGTCAGCATGGTCAGTGACCTAAAACACGATACCTGCAAATAAGGCCGGGATCCGGATCTACCACGCTGGACCACCAGTGTCCTGTCAATGAGGCTTAGTGTGCATGTGTGAAGCGTTGTCTCCGCTAGCGCTTGCTCGCTTAAGCGCGGCGTGGATGGACGACGCGTTATGCAAGTTGTAGGATGTAGCAGGAAACGGTCGTCGGCACTCAGCCAGACCACACCGTGGCACCGACCGTGCGTCGGTCACGAGGAAGCCTTTTTAAGTGTCACGCATAGATTCATATTTTCGCCGAGTGACTCGTAAATTTTCCGATCTACACTTGCGAGTGTATTCTCTGACCACGGAGGTAGGACCATGATTGCTCGAGACAGATGAAAAGGCAGCATTTTTGCAGTGGACGTCTTAATTCGAGGATGTTACGTAATGCAACTCTGCGTTGATTCGTAATTGTTTAATTCTCTAAGGATGTAAAGGGGAATGCTGCTTCGTATCGCATTTTTTTCGATTTGAAAACGAAAATAGAAAAAAAAGATCAAGTTGTTTTCTGTTCTTCGATTTAAGAACGAAAAATGAAAACCGAAAAATGAGTTGTTTCTCGTTTTTCAATTTTTAAAAAAATTAAAAAAAGACGAAGTCCTTTCCTCGCCTTTCATTAAAAAACAAAACTATAATCACGTTCGCTTGTTTCGTTTGATTCTACCTCCATGGTTTTTCAGTGTGGAAAGATCTATCGCACCAATATTTAAGAATGAAACACAGTTCCAATTTTCCTTTTGTAATACACGTATAAGAACCGTCTTTGTAACTTAAGCCATCAATTCAAAGATGGCTGAAATTGAGGAATGCAAGGAAGCGTTGCCTCTGAGTAAAAGGAGGAGCACCTCACAAGGAAATTTCTTGCATGTCCAAAGCAAACTCATATCAGTTCCTTCCAATACATAAAGCGCTAGCTCCTCCAAAAACTACAGTGCAGTGCGCATGTACTAAGTTGTGTAACAACAGTCAAGCCGGGACTCGAACGCGGCCTCCGGCCTCCGTGGACAAAACGAATGATACTACTTGGCAGATAGGGCAGACCCATACAGTATTGCGCAATGTGTTACATGCAGCAACAGGTAAAAGACTTCGAAACCCATGTTCCTTTTACGTTAACTTCATTGAAAAAGCAGTGACTCTTAAGAATATATGGAAGTTGAAAAAGCTCAGTGACTTCAATCATATAAATGAGGACTTACTGACACAGCTTTTCCCAAGCACCCGCGAATTTCTACTCTCTCAATGCAACGTGCCACCACATGCACGCACATGCGGTATACGTACGCAGCGCCGTGCACACGCACGCGTGGAGCCGATGCGCGATGGTTGAATGCGCATTCTAAACTGTTATTTCATTGGAAGCAAAACTTTGTGTCCACAAAGATGGGGTGAAATAGTGACCAATAACAATAATTTTTACATGGTCAGTTAGCTAATGAAGAGAAGAAACTACCCTGCGATTGAGGAGGTCAAAGGGTGGCGTATCCGAATCCGTTGTCTAGAGCTAGGTCTAGGTCTTCACTCCATTGAAAGTACGTGGAGACGCGCAGACAATAGACCTAGCCGTAGCTCTGGAAGCCCGTTTTGGGCTCCATGTTGGGTCGGCTTGTTGGGCCCATAGATATAATAAGAAAACTTATTATATCTATGGTTGGGCCCGCCCCCCTGGGAACACGCAAATGGAACACCAAAGAGGCAAAAACTTGGAGGCAAAACATCGATCGTTCTTCAACATTGATCGATCGTTCCCTACATCGATCGATCGTTCCCTACATCGATCGATCGTTCTTCTACATCGATCGATCGTCCTTCTACATCGATCGATCGTTCCTACATCAATCGATCGATCTCTTTTGATAGATGAAGAAAGAGCAATGAAAAAAGACCGATGAAGAAAGACCGATGAAGAAAGACCGATAGCGAAAGACCGATGAAGCTACATCGACGCCAACGTTACGTAACCTCTTCCAGCACCAAATAACACGTGTTCCCTGTAACCATAGCCCACCAGCACACAAGGCCATCCGTGTTCAGCACCCGTAAGTCCGGTCCCGAGTTTTCAGATAGGTGCAAACACCCGGGTGTTTGTATCATGAAACCACTGAGAATATTTTCTATTTTCCCCTGGATGGGAATCATTAGGGGTCGCTCCCTAGCCACTGTGGGCAAACATATTTACTCCAGGTGGATACAAATTTTATCTTCCACACTGATAACATCCTGGTGAAACCGGCAGAACCGGCTGAACCGATGGAACTATTCTGTCATTCACTGACCTACTTATCTAGCTATGCACTTCCATAACACTGATGAACACACTATTCCCTTCTGAATTTAAAATATCTTGATCTAATTTGTCAACTTGTTTCAATACGACCCTTTCCCTTTTTTTCATTCTTGATCCCCTGATATCCCAAGCTAACACCGATGAGGTCGAAAATAACGAATTATATAAGCATATTGTCAAGCGTAAACAAAAAAAGAGCGTCTAATCTCGGACGTCTTATCGATCCTAAAACGCCCGAATGTTTAGAGAAAACAAAGGATTAATTCGTAGCATTTGGATTACAACTGCCGATACAATCTCTGGACATCATCGTTTGACCGATGAGTGAGTAAGAGAGGATTAAAATTAACATACAAAGAAACTTCAGACGTTTTGTAACCTATTACTATTACAAATGAAAAAAGAGAAAAACGTGAACATTTCTTTGGTACTCAGTAAGCATTATCTAAGATTAAGACGAACTTGCGCCAGATAATGTCTACGAGGCCTATGAGAATTTCATATATTGTGCATGACAAATGTTTTCCACTGTGTGAGCTCTGAAGTCATATTAATAAGTCAAAACCACCTTGAGTAACGGAAGGAACCTATACCTCAATCAGAGAAAAAATCTGCATAAAAATATCTTCAGAATCCTACAGTTCATAGTAAATCTGCCAACATAAAGTTTAAAAACAAATTAATACGTGTTATAAGAATGGCAAAGAAAATTACTTAGGTGAACAATAAAGACAGACATAATGTTAAAGGTACATGCATGGGAGCTTATTAATTCGTTGCTCGGTGAAACGCACGTTAAACGAAATCCGTCCTATTATACACAAAATGATGCTAAAATTGATTTTTACATTGATGTTGCTATTAAACGCTTTCAATAATTATTTTATTAACATTGGCAAAAAATAGCAAGTGAACGTCCTCAATCAAGCAGTTCATTTGAACACTTTCTTGATGAAAGATGTGCACAGTCTTCATTTTTCGCTCCTGTTACCGAAGCAGATTTAGCACTTATTATTTCCAAACCTACCTTATTAGTTTTAATAATGAAAATTAGATCATTTAATCATGTCAATCTACTTGTCTGGTCTCAACATGTAGCACATCCGTCTTTAACTGTTGTCTATCCTGCCAGTGTATACTGTGTTCATGTCTCATGTCTCCTGTCTTATGTTTCTTGTCCAGTTTGAACCATTGTTTGTGTAAATAGGGAAAGCCAAAAGCATATGCTTCTTTTTTTCCCTACATGTTGGTAATAATTTAGACTATATACAATAATATTATCAAACGTAATACACCAGTTCCCATTATTTGTTTGACACATTTCATTATGCATGTATGATTTTGAGGTACTTGAGATCCTAAAAAAACTCTATACTATTATTGTTTAATTTCCTTTGGCACTGAGCTTCATGAGGCTTGACTTTTGAGTAACATTCTGACAGAATAGTTCCGCCAGAATGCTATTAGTGTGGAAAATAAAATTCGAGTCATTAGGAGTAAGAATAGGTACCCATAGTAGCTAGGGAGCGACCCATAATGAACTGGCATCCCATCCAGGGGAATACAGAGAATATTCTCAGTGGTTACATGACAAGGAAACTAGATTTAAACACCCATCTGACAACTCAATTGGCTCGGAACCAGACTTACGGGTAATTGACACGGGTGGCCTTGTGTGCTGGTAGGCTATGGTTACAGGGAACACGTGTTTTTGATGGGGAAGAGGTTACCTAACGTTGGCAGCTTCAACGGTCTTTGGTCATCGCACTTTTTTAATCGCTCTTTTTTCATCGCTCTGTCTTCATCGATCGATCGATGTAGGGGAATGATCGATCGATTTTGAAGAACGATTGATGTGTTGCCTGCAAGTTTTTCATAGATCTGTTTTGTGTGATTTCTTTCCGATGCGACTGTGAGAGGAGATCCTGATCGATTTGCTTGTGCATTTTTTCATAAGACTCGGAGTCCGTTTGTGTTCACCGGTTCTGGATGTAAAGACCAGAAGTCACTGGACCGGAGGATAAGCGTTTGTGCCTTTTTTTTTAGACGTGCGCGAACCCCCCCCCCCAGAAGCAAAGTAACAGTAGTACTTTCTTTTTCGTCTTTTTCCTCATTTTTTCATTTGCAAATCGAAAAAGGGAAAACGGTTTGTTTTTGGTTGTTTTATATTCGTTTTCAAATCGAAAAACGAATTACACGTATGAACAAAACGCACACGGACAAGCTTCTTATCCATTTCATAAAGAACTTCGTCATACGTCGGACGCGCCACGATTTGCAGGCTCCCATTGGACTATCGCTGAAGTTTGCGTTAACTGCCGGTTCCTGGTTTTGTATAAATGGCGATCAATGCATGTAAGGGTGCAGACCACTAATTCAAGTGAGAGTTTCTGGCCAGCTCATTACCATTAAAAGTGCCCCCACAGTAACTTTTGAAAAAGGAGATTGATTGGCCCTCAAAATGGTGAGATTGTGTAAATTCTTGCCAGTATCAACTCCCTGGGTCTTTGAGCTTTCATATGAGNAATCAGACTTGGGAAAAATCACTTTTTGGGGTGATTTTGTTTTGTGGGAATAATTTAAAATGTAATAAGTAACCCACAAACAATTGAAAAGAAATTGAAAGATAAGTGACCAGACAAGAATTTCATTTGTGTTTCAGGAATCTCAGGGATGTTGGCGTGCATGTTATTGAGCCCTGAACAGTGCTGATTTTACACTGTTTTCAATGGGACTTGAATCAGTTGACTATACCCGTAAGGTCGGCCGGGTCAAAATCATATGGCTGCGGCCAGAAATTGTACACACGCACGAGTCTACGGTAGTGGCCTTGGCCTGTTCTCATCAAGCCGCAGCCAAGTGATTCGGACGCAGCCTGACTCTTGCGCATGTGCAGTGGGCGTGGTTTAAACTGAAGTGACGT